TTTTAAAGGCAAAATTAGTTGCTCATCTGTTTTTGATACAGTTAGTCTCTGCATACCTACTAGGTCTATCAGAGACTACTCTACCTTTACTGTACAACGTAATTTCAAGGCCAGTTCCTCTGCCAGATGTGTTTCTGGTGCCAATGCAGTCTGCAGGAGCATCGACATCTTTAACAAAGATCGTATTTTGCTTACTGAGGTCAGTCAGCTTTTTAAACAATAATCATTGTTTTTATTGTTTATTTAGTATAACATTTTATTTTGTATGTTGTTTGTCCAAAATTAAACTGTTTTTAGTTTAATTATTATTTTACTTATCTATAACATTTAGTTTTTTACTTATGAGTTATTTTGCAATAAATCAATATTGTACAGTTATGTTTTCAGTTCTTTGTTTGTTTGCTTTTGTATTGTAATGTTTGTATTGTTGTTAGTGCTTGGCTGTTATTGGCCTTTTTGGCTGTTGTCAAGCACTTTAATAAATGAATTGAATTGAATTTATTATGTATATAATTAATTTGTGTATCCATCATTTTGACATTTATTACTGATATCTGAAAATCTTAGATATGCATGCCTAGAAACAATTGAATGTATTGTCAGAGGATATTCTGTCTGAAATTTGTAGGATTTGCATTACAGTGAAGTTAACTTTAATTCTGATGTTGTACTGGATCCTTGCTGTAAGAAACATGAGAAGTTTCTGAAAAGTATCTTATTGTTGATATTTTCAGGTGATCATGCACTCATTGACATAAACAAATTGCTGGGACTGAATCCAAAACAAGTTACAGTCCGCACAAAGTCTCGTGACAGCCAGTCAGCTGATAGTGTTCCAACTTCCATTCCTTCTGCAGCTCTAAAAAGTAAAATGAGCAAGGTATAACCACAGATGTTTCTTTGTTTATTTCTAGCATCCTTGCATGAAAGTGGAAAAGAATTATGTAACAGTCAAATGTATGATTTGAGATTTTTACAGCAGTGAGTATGAAGATTTCTGTCTTCTGGGTTGTTGCGCCATGTAGTACCTTTAGTGACATTATGTTGGCACTCTGTAATCAGTAATATTACATTGAATTATCCATTTGACATATGCTTCATTATAATGAGAATATGTTGCTAGGCCTGGAACTGATCAAGAAATCTTATGTAATGACATTTAATTATGAATGAGTTGTAGTGAATCAGCTGTCATTTGACACAGGATGGTATGGATAAGATGGACAGAAGACAGAGGGAACAATATGGATCAGCCGTTCCAGCTCACATGCGCCGCCATATGCAAAGTGGCCAATCGGGGCATAGAAACATGGGAGTTGATGCACATGGACAGGTTATAATTGACCCAGAAGAAAATCTATCTGATAAGGAGATCTACCCAGCAGGGAACCACATCAATATCCCGTCCATAGGTAAATGGGTTATTTTACATGCTGTTATAATTTAACTTTTCCATACAGGTGGCTAACATTTCTTGTGAAATTGTTAAACTTCAACCAGAATGAGAGGATAGATTTTTAGCTATAAATTAATAAGAACAATCTGATAATCTATGTGCTGTGTAGTACTCACTGAGTCATATCAGAACCCTGATGATGGGGACAGAGTTGGTTCCTGAAACGTTGGTTTACTGCGGTAACCAGTTGAGGCGGCTGATTGCCCGAGAAGATTTTATTGATTGTACTCGCCGCGAAAGTCTCAAATCCTATTTCACTGTAAGTATCATGATCATAAATCATGGATCATTTTGCAAGCAATTGTGCTTCAGAGATCACCAAAGACTCTGCCAGTGAAGGCAACTTCAGTGAAGAAGATTATTTGGATGGTCGAAGAGGAGCTCGAGTACATCATGGACCCAGCGGGGGCCATTACGATCCTCGAGGCATTCCACGTAGTCATACTGAAAGAGGTCGCCCTCCTCCTCTCCCACATGAGAGAGGACGTATGGACCACCATCCTCCACCTCCTCGTGACAGGTAGGGGACAAGCAAAGACCAGTAATTGAATAACAATCCGCTTGTATATTATTTATTGAGGTTTCACAATATTAAATGATAAATTAAATGCATTTTATAATTGACAATGATCCATAGAAACAGTTCATATAGTTTGAAACTTTCATGGTGACTGAACTGAATAAAAATTTTCATGGGCAACAAGCCATGTCAGTTCTGGACAGAAGCCCAACATTTTTGAGACAATCTCTTTTTCCATCATCATTCCCCCTGATAGTAGAAATGGAGAAGGTCTCTGAAACATTGGGCTTCTGTCCAGAACTGACGCAGCTTGTTACTCAAGACAACTTTGTATAGTTGGTATAGATTTGTATGTTAATTGGTCTCACAATTTGACATTTTAATCCACAATTAATAAATTTTCAATTGTTTACTTGCAGGGTCCAATATTGTGCAGCTCCTCATAGTGACCCTAGAGTTAGGCATGGGGGCCACCCTGGAGACAGACCATACCGCCGGGCAGTTCTCCCTCCAGGGCGGGGTCCTCCATCCCATCAACAGTCAGGGCCACCACCAGGAGGTCCAGGACCTAGCCAAAGAGATAAAAGAGTGAGATGGTTTATGGCTCTATATGACTACAATCCTACAACAATGTCACCGAACCCTGATGCTTGTGAGGAAGAACTGCCGTTCTCAGAAGGTGACACCATCAAGGTATTAAAACAAAATTCGTACCAATACATAGAAAATAATAGTACTTATCCTTATGCATTAACACAGTAAATGTTATATTTTTAGTGGTGGGGATAAGTAGATCAACTATAGTTCTCCATTTGGAAGAAATGTTATTTTACTTACAGAAGTAAAATGACTACTCAACTCTGAGACTGTTCTCGGCGTCAACAGTCAGTGTTGTGTATTACAAAAGTAAAGTAAAGTTATTCAACTACATGCTATGAAGGTGCTTATAGGGAGAGGAAGTATAGCTCCACTGGTTGGGCAAGAATGGTTACCATCATGCATTGGCTGCGCTTTACTTCCGAGGGAAGTGCCCGTTGGATAGGAGGGTGGGTGAGCCCCAGAGCTGATCTGGATGTGGAGGCCTGAGGAGAAGTCCAGTATCCTTGTTGGAGTTTGTTTTGTGTGGGAGTGAAACTTTGTCTCCGAAGTCAAGGGAAGAACGCACATCGAGGGTGCTTGGGAGAGGTTTCTGAGAAGAATATTTGGACCTAAGAAGAATGAAGTGATAGGAGATGAAAAAATTGCATGAGCTCCATAATTTGTATGTTACATAAAATGTTATTAGAATTGTCATATTAAAGAGTATGGGATGGGTGGGGCACGTAATGTGCATGGGGGAGATGAGAAATGGTATAAAATTTGGGTGCAGGAACTTGGAGGGACCTAGACATTGTGAACAGGTTAATATTAAAATGTATTTTAGAGAGATGAAGGTTGGAAGGCACATTTGCATATATTTGACTTGGAATAAGAATCAATTGCTGGTTCTTGCGAACACATTAATGAACCTTTGGGCTCCATAAATGCTAGGGAATTATTTTACTACCTTAGCGAATATCAGCTTCTCAGTAAGGACTTTGCTCAATGGAGTTATTTGCTGCCCTATGATTCTTTATTTTCCAACTGCATTGCAAATAAGAAACCTGACTTCCATTTCAGATTTATGGGGATAAAGATGCTGATGGATTCTACTGGGGAGAATGCAGGGGTCGGCGAGGTTTTGTCCCACATAACATGGTAATAGAAGTACAGGATACTCCAAAGGAAGGAGGTCGTGGTGGTCCGAGGGATCGTTGGGGAGACATCTACGCCAACATGCCAGTCAAGAAGATGATTGCACTCTATGACTATGACCATGAGCTTTCACCAAATGTTGATGCCGAGGTAAGCATCTCATTATAATCTTAAAGCTGTTAACTTTGTATGTCTCTTTTGAATATGCTAGTGAACTTTCAGGTTTCATAAAAGGCAGGGAATTTCTTGACAAACTGAATGAATATTGCCTTCTAAGAAATTACTCTGCCCTGTGTGATAGACTGTCAATTTCAGAGCTCATTTCTGTTAATCTCTTCATATGGAATAGTGGATAAACTAGGAAGTCTATTATGTTCATCTGTGTAAGTTTAGAAAAACTGTTTTGTTAACAATCAAGTAAAGGTTTGAAGTTTTCACAGTGGTGAATATGTGGATTGTTGTCTTATGATTTGTGATTCTATGCAGTGTATAGTTTATAGGTGGTCTAGGAGCATTCAAAGTACAAGGTGCGAGGTATGCTAATGGAAACTGTGTATTGCATCACTCCTATCTTATTTTTATTAATCTGTCCCCATTTTACACCAATTTTTACTGTACATATTTTTGGTCATGCTCCCAACAGTCATGAGGGCAGAAAGTTCATGTATATTGTTGGTTCATCAAGCAGAAGAAGAGTTTGCTTCATGGAAATTATTGCCCTTATCAAGTGCTTTGTTTCATTTTGTATTCCCAGTGTTGTTACAGTGGGGTCACAGTGGCCACACGGTCTGAGGTGTGGGCCTTGTGCCACTTCGTCACTGTGACCATGGGTTCGAATCCCACTCAAGCCATGGATGTTTTTCTGTGTTGTGCTGTCCAGTGTACAGGTAGAGGCCTTGCGACGGGCTGATCCCTCGTCCAAGGAGTCCTACCGAATGTCTATAGATCGAGCCAACGATAGTTGGGACCCGCAGTGCTCAGGCACTTGAAGAACGGGCCATTCCCAGTATCCCAGTATCCAGTGTTGTTATATGTTTGTGGTAAAAGCTTCATATGTTATATAAATTAACTGTTTGATTCTATCAAATTGCATCTTAGTAGATGTTATGCTTATGATGTCTAGACCTATATAAAGAATTTTCATATAATTAAGTCCAAGAATTTGGGTCTTTTAAATTTCACATCATTCAGATGATAGCCTGTTATATTCTGGTATCCTTGTATTCATTTTGTACATGCTATAAGTTCTGGGAATAACTAACATATTCATAGGAAAGTATCAGAAGAGGCTCTTATGGTACTGTGTTGTGAATATCTTGAGTTGTCTCTATCTTACTGCAGGTGGAGTTGTCGTTCCAAACGGGCAACATCATCTATGTATATGGTGATATGGATGATGATGGGTTCTACATGGGCGAATTGGATGGGGTTCGGGGATTGGTTCCTTCAAACTTCCTGACAGAAGCGCCTCCCGATTATAGTAATGGGGGAGGTGGGCCCAGACAGGGTCGACCACCTCCTCAAGACCGTAGTGGAAGAGGTGGGGGTCACGGACCTGGGACTAGAGGTCCCCCTCCCCCTCCAAGAGATGGAGTGCGCATGGATCCCAGAGATAGAAGGAAAGGTAAGTGATATATAAACTACATTTCACAGCAGTTATTACAGCCTCCTTGGAAATAATAATTTTTCTTTTTAATATAATTTATTTGTGTACTTAATTAAATCACATTTTGTTTGAAATTTTAATAAAGATTATTTGAAGTTAAAAAAGTATGCAAAAATATAGTGGAATCACCATTTGATGATCATAGTTTTAACATTGTAAGATACTTAAAAATTGTTTTATGCAGATCATCTGTTTTGTACAAATGCATTATTACAATTTTTGCATCAAGGATATTTGTTACCAGTAGCCTTATTAATTTGTCTTATGAAAATGTTAATTCCATACATTAAATAGTTAAAGTTTTAGTAATTTGAAAACAAACAGAACATTTAAACAAATGAGCTATGACTGCCAGTTTCATGGTAACAGACCTGGCTCTCCACCTAAGTGAAAACTTGATTGACTTCTATTAAGAGAACACATACACTAAGTTGTTTGAAATGCAGAACAAAATATAAAATGGAAAAAACAACCTAACATATAAGGGTAATTCTGCCTAGAATGATTGGTATCAACGTATCTTGTACGCATTCATCTTGTGATTGCATCTTAGATTGAATGTGCATATCCATATTCATTATTTGCAAAAAAATAAAATTTTAAATTGTGATTCCACTGAATGACTTAAATGATATATTATTATGAAATATTTTTGAGAAGAATATATTATGTTTCTTTAATTTCCAATGACTGTATTTCAAGGATCCATTCTTAGGCCTTTCAGAGACATAAAATGATTGTTGGACTTCATTCTTTTCATGAAATAAACTAGTACTGGTATTTAATTCCATATTGTCACAGAATAAAGGCAGAATATTTATTGTTTTCATTTATTTTAACATTATCAAATCATTAAATAATGTTGTTACTAAGACATTTTCTAACATTTCATTATTCTACAAAACAATTTTAACATTGTCATACCTAAGAATGTATCTTTGTTTGTTTAATAGACTACTGTGATGCCATGCCCATTCATAGACATGAATTAAAAAAGTACTTTCATACATACATTGCTCCCAAAAGATCTCAGATATTCATGTTTAATATATTTTGTTCTATTTATTTATTATCTTGAAAGTAGAATATAAAAGATGTGTAGTAAAGACAGATTTTTTTTACATAAAACTGTGTGTGAAACAAGATAAGTAATGCAGCTTTCTTGCTACACTAGTTTTTTATAGCCTTTCTTAACTTCAGCAATAAATTGTAGAGTGTATCGGGGGCATGACCAAGCATAGGCCATATTTTCACATATTACCTCATTTATAATTTTGTCAACATGAAGGAAGCACAAACACTCCAAAATATAATCATTATTACATTTTTAGTCTGTTGAATATTCTTGTCTATTGATGAAGGTGTTGATTACATCCGACAACTAATACGTATGTTAACATGTGCATTATAACTATTTTGGTTCTTTTCTTTATATTAGCAGAATAGAATTAAAAAAATTCACTTTTACTCTTTAAATAAATGTTCTATAGAGTATAAAAGTAGTTGTGAAGATACAGTACTTGTTTGTGCCCTCTATAAGCCTTGAAATTAAGCTATAAGCTAATTGCATTTATCTCGCTTATCTTATGCAAAGAGTGCTTTAGTAGATGATTTATCTCCGCTAGCTAGAGACAAAACCAATGTAGGAAAGTTGCATTGACTTGGACATGGCATTACAGCAATTTCTCCAGGGTAATATTACTATTGACTGTATTGGATACCCATACAACCCTGTTGTAAATATCATAATTTCACTTCCTCCAATACTTTTTCCTGTGAAAATCTATGAGCACCAGCTTCTAGAATTTTTTGTGTATTCCCCATAACTCACATGATTGAACTCATTCACAACTGTAGATGTTGCCTCCACATCAGTGTTTTACACAGCACAATTTTTTGGGGGTTAAAACTAATTTCATTATCACTTTTTTTAGCAGTTCTATTATTTTATGTTTGCTGTTGATGTAGCATAATGTAATTGGTCCCCTGACATGTACCTCTTCATACTGATTACTTTTTGGTGACCAGCTTTCTCTGTTTAAAAATTGTCCCAATATACCTCACCCTATTCTAGGGTATCTTGATGTGCTTTATCTCCCTTCATATAAATGTGAGTATGAATGTTTGATTGGTTGTGAATTCTATACTGTTGAAGAGGTTTGTCACAAATTGATTAAAATACTGCCATATAATTTTATGTAAAAAGTTAAAGGTGTCCTATATTTTAATTTTGATGTCCCCTTAACTCCTTATCATCATTAACAGTTAAACAGTGATTTGTCTTTTAATAAATGAATAATTTATGTTTAAATAAATATATACAACACAAAACATTTTGTACGAATTGTCTTTTTTTATAAATACAGAATATTTTGTTGTCATGAAAGTAATCTGAACACATACTGCTAACATTGTCCTACTCCCAGATCCAAAAACATTAGTCTTGTCATTATTCTGTATTAAGTATGATTTGAGGTTTTCACCACGGTGAGTATGAAGATTTCTGTCTTCTGGGTTGTTGCGCCATGTAGTATGGTAGATGTTTACCAACGTTTCAGAGGTATTACTGCCTCTGTCATCACCCTGATGATGGAGGCAGTATGACCTCTGAAACGTTGGTAAACATCAACCAGACTACACAGCGCAACAACCCAGATGACAGAAATCTTCATTCTGTATTAACTTTTCTCAAATCTGTTTTTTGACTGAATATTTCATTTAGTTACTGAATTAATTGCAATTCTGTCAGATTATAATTCCCTTCAGGTACTGATGCTGTATTTTAAACGACTATATGGCAAACCCTTCGAAACAGTTTGCAGTGAGATGAAGGAGGAAGAAACAGACAAAGTTTTGTCATTTTCTACCTTATCCCAGCCATTATAGTTTATTCCACTTAACCTGTTCACAGTATCTAAATTCAGGGCTTCATTTTTCCACTATGATCAACTCTTCAGTCAGACAGGTCATGTATTAGTAACAATTCTATGTCAGAATCTCATTCCAGTGTGCTTTGTGAGAACCAATTTTTCTTGTTATTAATGAACTTTAATACGAACCTCTGTTGTTATCAGAATTTTAATGAGGGTAATTTTTGCCTGTAGCATTGCCTGGCTTCAATCTTGAGCATGATCTTGATATTGTGTACTATTACCTTAATAAAAAAGTCTGATGTGGAACTGTTTTTTGTGTTCATCACCAGAAATACAAGATTTTGAGAGTACTTAAAATGCATAATTTTTTGTTATGTGGCAAAAGTTTATACTGCCCATGCCCAGATTTACTGGGATGTTAAAATAAAATGAATAACCTGTTATTGTTCAAAAATTAAAACCTTCTGTATAGCCATTCAGAAATGTTTTAAAAAGTAATTAAATGTGTGTCAATCAGAATACTTCTGTTTATAAATATTCCTAAATTATGAAGGGAATTTCTTGAGGTGAACTGATGAAGCAAAACTGGTGTTACAACACAGTTTGAGCAGATGAAAATCTTGAATTGTGCTGACCTTTCAACGTGAAAATATGTTTTCATTGCAATTTTACTGAACACTACTGTATTTTTTAATATTTTTATGATACTATGTGTATTGTTAGAAATAGACGTACCTACAACTACTATACCTACTTAACATGATAAAACGTCTTGCCAAAGCCTTTAACCCACTATGTCACTTCCTAAATTTGACTTCAACAACAAGAAACCTTACATGTGTTTTTAAATTTTTTGGAATTTAGGTTTCTATTAGCATCATTCATGTAAGAGTCAATTGTGTAAATGTTGCATCTTTCAAGGAAATTCTGCATCTATTTACATCATTGTCAGCCTTATAAATTAGGTTGTCTCTTTTTACATTTAATTGTAAATTATCTCATGCCATAAAAACAAAATATCAAATCAGTTTAAATACTGGTGTCTGTGTAATATCCTTCCATGTTGCATGATTAATTGGTTGACTTACTGCCATGTTCTAATGATCACTGTTCTCAGATGAGGGTTATGAGCATTGCCCTTAACAACAAGGAAATACAGCTTTTTCATCACTATGAACTGAACTGAATTACAGAAAAATGTGTGGTTGAAAGTGTTGAGTCATGTTCTTTATATTTAATGAAGTCATCTGGACAGTAATTAATGACCAGAAAGTTGTGGAAATGGTCAGAGGTTACTTCTTTATTAAGTGTTAAAGGTTCGTGGAATTTATGTGGTACAGTATTATCAAATGCTTATGCTTAGGGAATTTTTATTAGGACAGAAACAAGACCCAAGTTATCATATGAGCCTAAGCTCTGTATGAGCTGAGGGGGAATTTTTCTGATTGCTCTCTGCCTCCTAGTATCCCACATCAATGAAAGTTGAAATACTTTTCATTCTGCTTCACACTTTTGATTTGAGGCTTGTTATTTAAAGTATGACTACTCTGGACTGTTCGTTTGTCATTTAGACAAGAAATTATTGTAGTTTATTTTTAAGGAATCATTCTCCTGAAAGGAATACCAAATGAAAATTTCCAGTAAGGTTAGGTATTATCAGTTCTGATCGATCAGTGAATCTCATATGCAGAGTATGTGAACTGTATCATCCTGCTAATATATGTTTGATATATGAAAATTTATCACGTAAAAGCTGAATATTGAACCGTCATATTAGAACATGGCACTTATGTCATTTGGTTGGATTATGTTGGGCTGACCTGATGAGCTGGTGGGTGTATTCTCCGCTCTGTCTCTTTTTCTCCTCTCGATGTCTCTTTCTGTCTCTTTCTCTCTGTCTCTCTCTGTCAGTCTGTCTGTGTGTCTCTCTCTTTGTTGCTAGATCATCTACCCACACAGACACAGTTAGACTATAGGGCAGATCACAACACTAGCCTTCAGGTAAGTACTTTGGTACAAATGAACTTGGCATTATTATTCCCCATTTCTCTACTATCTCTGCATGGCTTTGCATTTGACTGCTGATTGAACACACACATTCATAACCACAAATATACATTCACATTTTACCAGCATTTGTTGTAAGCTGTCTTCACATGCTCTGAACGCTAAAATAAATTTATGAGACAGGGTCTTAAAATATATTCATATAAGATAAACATGTGTTAACAAGGTTTAAGAGGATGCGTATCTTGTAAATAAAATGTATATATAAATTTATATAAATTTGAAGACCTGGATATTCTAACCTTTCTTCCAGTTATAATCAGTATATCTAAATTGCTTATTGTGACACTTTGGATTAATTATCCTAGTGTATAATTCTTCTTGAGAGATATATGACAATTCTGATCCCCAAATATCTGAAAACTGTTAAACTCAGGGTAATATCTGATATTGTGCCTTAATCCATTCATATGTATTTTTAGTGGTACGTGATTTGTACATCTTCCAATAAGCTTTCATATTATTTAAATGATATTTATGTTGGGATAGTTACATTTGATTTGCAAAGCTTATGTTAATGGAAATTTCTATTATTCATTTTTGTTGATATTAGATTACTGCATTAAGCGGAAACCGTATTGAGAAGATAACAGTTGCTCATTTGGTTAAAAAATTCGAAATGTTTGTGGAACCCAAAATTTCATTACCATTCACAAGAGCCTGTCACTGGATTCTATCTCAGACCATTCCACATCCTCACATCATGTTTCTCTAAGACCTATTTTCAATGTTATCATTGAATATGTGCCTAGGTCTTCCAAGTGGTCTCTGTCCGTCAGGTTTCCTGAGCATAATTTTGTATGAATTTTTCATTATTCTTTATTTTTTTGTGTGCTAAATGCCCTGAAAAACACAATATCAGCAATTTGATCACAGTAGTGATATTTTGTGAAGAATAAGACAAATGAAGTCTTCATTATGCAGTTTTCCCTATTCTGTTGCTTTCTTTCTCTTATATATATATATTTGCCTTATCACTCTAGTATTCAGTGATATTTGATTAGAATGGGATTTGAGATCATCAAATATAGACTCATTAAAATCTATAACTACCATTTAAATCTTTCTGTGTGTGAATTTTTAATTAAATACAGAGAAAATGTTTTCATAACCAAAGTAATGTGAACAGCTTTGTATAATGAATTTATATTTTACAGTTTGGCTTCAGTCTCTCTCTCTCTCTCCTCTCTCTTTTTTCCCCATTGAAGAAAATATATCCCATTATTATGCCAGCATTTCTTAAATTAAAAGAATTGGCTTACTGTAGAGATATTCTACACAAGATTTAAATCAGGAGCATTCCACGCTTAAAGTTATGATTAGGAATAAATGTCTTGCTACAGGATTTGCATGAACAGCAAATGAACATTAAGGCAGTAAGGTATTTAAGATTGCAAAGAATGCATTTTTAGAACTATACTCCAGATTTAAGACATTTAATCTTTTCAAAAAAGATAATGAATTATTACTACAACAGAATTCCTTTTCAGAGTACAAATAAATAATAAGCTAACTCGATAAACAGAATTACATGTGTGTCGTTTAATGAACATGGTCAAATATCCTTTGTTATGTATTTAAGATATGATACGAATATTGTCATTAATATAACAGTAAATTTTAAGCATCCATTTCCATTTTTATACTATTATATCACAGATATTTAAATTTCCTGACGTTGAAATGCCTCTGAACACACACATACTGTACATAACACATACACACAATTGAATGTCATGAATTGCTAAGAAGCTTTGTAGTGATGAATTTGAATGAAACAAAATACCTGGAATGGCTGTTTTGAGATGGGAAATTGATGCATAACATTTTTACCGTAGTCAAGAATGCTGTCCACGATCCTTTCCACTTTTCCACATAATTGCCTGCTAGTGATTTGGAATGCTTTGCTATTTTATTCAAAAATTTACTATTTTATCTGAATGCTATATTTTTTATTTTTTCCCTTCAGTTCATTTTTTCAACATGTAAACTATAACAACTTTAACATTTATTCAAATACATAATTTCTTTTTCACTGTGCATGTGGGTTTCTCTTTTTTTGGAATTAGGCAAATAGTTTATTTATTTTAATTTTTCTTTTTTACATATTTTGTTCCACACGAACAGGTAGAAAATTCTACTGGAAGAAATGCAATATAATTTCTTTATGAATGTGTCTTTGTATACATTTCCCTCTCCATTTAAATACGAATTACCATTTTGAATATGAATGGTTATGTAAATGCTAGATACTTTGTCTAATATTTGCGTGTGGATCTATATCTGTGAATGTTTAATATGAGTATATTAATTGTTAACATTTATCTGAAATTTATAATTACATGAGTGAAAGGTTTTGCTTTCATTGTCAGGACTTCAGTAGTGACTGGGAGGTAATGTGATTGTACAAAGAGCAAAAGACCTGTATTCAATCCTGACTAGGATGGCAACATTTTTCACTCATCCATAAACATGTTTTGTTATTACAAAAGGCATTATTAATGAAGAGGGACTATTATATAGGCATGTGTAAGATATATCCCATATTAAAATTGTTGTCATGTATGGTTATTAAAAGTAAATAATTGCCATTACATTTTTGTACCCTGTAATGTCATTTTTAGACTTTTATGAGAATGTCAACCTACCCAGTCCAAGTTCTGTTAGCTAATGGAACAGTATGACATTCTATCAACCTCAGCCTTCTGTGTAAATTGTAACTACCCTTGCCAAGTTTGTGACATAAAGGTAGCCATCCACAATGTTTAAAGTATCCCTGAAATGAATATAATAAGGTTCAGAAAATGTATGTAACTTTTTAAAGTAATTTGTAGTTGGCAGCATTTAAGGCAAGAAGCATCACTTGATAACTAATATTTTCAGTGCATTATGAATATGAAAACTGTGAAGTTCAGAATTACAATAACAACACAGTAGACACTATTTGGTCTCTATTATTTCTAGAATTGGGTTGCGGGGAATGATATTGCCATAATCAGTACTGAGTTACATCTGTAATAAGTTTTTGTTCCTGTTATAACCTAAAAAGAGCTCATTCTTTTTCTCTTTCTATATGTTATTTGATCAAATTCATAACCCCCCCCTCCCCTCAACAAATGTTCATTTTGAGGGATACTCATCATTGTTGATGGAAAATAAAATGTTAACTACAATGTATAACCTATGTTTCACCCAATATGACATGTTTGTAGCTGTGCATTATTAGAGAACATACATAGCACTTACCCTAGCTAGAAATTTGTTAATTCACTGTGTAGCAAAACATAATTGAGTGGTATTGCAGCTTGTTTTTGTATATGAGGAAGAGTTTATAGCATCATAATGGAGAAATGGACAAGATCAACACTAGAGGCAGAAACCCACATCTGCCCACAGGGACTTGCAGGACTTCAGTTCATCAACCTGAGACCTCTTCATGAATTATCAATTTATTTGTCATTTAAGTTGTAACAAATGATCATCAGTATACTGTGGTGGGTAGTATTAGATACACGTTTTAATTGTTTAAATGCATTGAATTTTAAATTATGTGAAATTGGTTTTAATGTGTTTATGTTTTATCTGCTTTCAGTTAGTCCATGCATAGATAGTACTGGCTTCATTGAGACCAGCTGATGTTTCCCCAAGGACAGTTTCAGATTTAATCTGTTGTTTTTAAATATATATCCCACTTTAGTTCACATTTGAAGAAAAAACTAAGTAAGGGATAAAGGAAAAAATAAAATAAATATTGAAGGTATAAAAAGTACTAGAGGAAAAAAATTTGAAAATCCCCTTCTGGTGGTGTCTCAGATACATAATTATTAATAATTTCTGATTAGTTAAATATGTGGATGTGAAAGATCAGAATAAAATATCAGAAATTCCAGTCTGGATTAGACTAGAGTAGTGATACAAGACATTTCTTATTAACTGCAATGAACACTGCAATAATTAAGTATATGCTTTTTTTTAAAATTACATAATGAACATTATTTTTCAGAGGATATAAACAGTATATTTTATGTATACATGAACCTCAGGTCTTTTAAACTTGTAACAAGTCAAATATGATGGCCAGACTTCTTATTTCTATATCAAAATTCATACATATTATTGCATGTATTAATATTAATTCCACAGAATTTCTTGATTGATAAATATAGAAATTGTAGTAGACCAGGCTGGTTGAAATGAGACAGAGAATGACTGTTTATCATTCTCTTTCTGTCCTAGCATGAGGAAATAAATCAATACCCCAATACCAAGTGTAGAGCTGGCAAGGTTAGAGCTCCCACCAGAGTACAGTAGAGAAATAAAATCAAGCAGAGGAGATACTGTAACGGTGTGGAAACAAATTTTCCAAAACCAAGTATAACAATTGGCCTCCCACAAATAACTGTACCATAGGGAATGTATTATTTCATAAGTACCATCTTTTTTAACGACGGAACACAATGCTTTGCATCATACAAATTGAAGCTATTACATAACTGATACCATTGAATGGTCATTATTTGTTGTTTTACCAACAGTTTTAGGTAGTTGCACAACGGTTCGCGTGGGCAGATGAACAGTATTCTGTCCGTTCCCGGCCTTGCTCATAGCCCCATTATATTTTCTTTTTTTGAGCACGCACAAAGACGGAAGAGTCGGATACGCCACCCGAGGGTTGAACCGACCCGTAACGCACAAGTTCGCTTCACGGCTGCGCTGTCTAGAAAACACTTCCACACTGAATGCTCTTAACCTGGCCGTGAAGCAATCTTGTGAGTTACGGGTCGGCAGACTACCATCTCCCGAGATCCATGTTACTTAACGTACGGTTGCTGTTGTTGACTCGTACTATGTAAGTGGTTATTCCATTCGGCCGTGTTGACGCCAAAATGCCACGTGTGAGGTACACATTGGAGCAACGAGTGTTTATGTACGATGCTTACGTGAAAAGCGGTTCTGCAAGAAAAGTACGGAGAAGATTCCGCCGTAAATTTCAGGATGTTTCAGTTCCACATAGAGAAACTGTTCACAGAATTGTAAATAAAGTAAGAGCAACGGGGTCGTTGCTTGACAGAAAACCCGAACTGAAACGTCGAGTGCTCACTGAAGAGAAGTTGGATGAAATCGGTGCTAGACTTGAACATTCACCTAGGAAATCTCTCAGATGTCTTGCACAAGAGACTGGGGTGTCAATAACGACAGTTCGAACGGCAACAAAACTTCTGAAACAACCTACATTTGAAAAAGTGGTAATGCTTGTAGAATGTGCAGGAAAATTTTTACGTTTTACAGTTAAAAATATTCGGATGCCTTACCACGATTTGAGATACCGCGATTCGAACATTCACAGTATCCGGATATATAGGCGAATATTCGAAACTATTAGACAGTATTTATTATAGGGTAATATTTTATGTATTTAATACTTAGTATACATAATTTTATTTCATACTAAGATGTTTAATTCGTTTAAAGATCATCCGGAATACTTTTAAGGTTTATTAAACTTTTCCTGAAACCATATTTACACTCAGGTTTCCTCATAGTAATTAGTTACCCAGTTCATAACCTCAATGACGTGCTTGTACAAATACATGAACTAAACTGAACTCTGTGGGATTTGTATCTGATATTTTCAGTTTTGTTGTACACTGTATCATGGATGCCTTTTATGGCAAGAGAGAATTGATTGGTAATTGAGAATTTTTACATATAACATGAATAGTACGCTTATTCATTTATCTGAATGTGACATTATGCAGCTAAATTCTTACAATTGGAACCAGATATCTAAAGATAACAATAGTACTCTGTCAGATTGTTCTTAGATACTGAGTGAAATGATTCATATTACATAATTTTTAAGTTTAAATTCCAGTATGTTTTGAGAACAGTCATTCACTACAAAGGAGTCCATCTTCTGGGGTGATGCATCCTGTAGTCTGGTACAGACTGACTGATATTTCAGAGGATGCAGCATCCCAGAAGACATCCTATCTCACCATTCTTAAACTACAGCAGTATGGAAGCACTGTGTTTCAGTGGTGTTATGGACGTGATGAATCTTTGTGGAATAAGAGGCAGGAGCATTTAGAATATGTAGCTTTAATTGAAATCCTTTTTTGTGTAATGTAAAACAACAAAATAGTGGCTTCATGAAGTGCATATTTAGCTTTTGACTTGACATTGATAGCCAACAAACCATTGGACTGAGGCACTTGAAATTTGGTATGAGGATGGATCATAAGCATACCTACAAAGTTATTGTTACAAACTTGAGATAGTGCAAGTCTTTAAGGTTATGTTTAATGCTCCCCAAAGTTATATTTAAGCAATAAGTTACAGTGTTTCTTCTACAATGACTTGTACTACAACTTCCTACCACTTATATTGCTGCTGCTATTCTTGCTTTTATCCATGACCTCAATGGCAGTTAGATACAGTGTTCTCTGTCCATCTTCAGTTAACTTTCCCACTAACATCAGTCACAGTTATCTGTAGTTGTTTTAGCCTTGCTCCAAATTAGTATGGTTTGTAGATTCTCTCAATCTCACCAAGGGCTGAGTGTTAACATTCATCTGGATATATTTTCCTTAGAGTTGATTTTTATGGGATATTACATTTACAGTACCTGTCGAGGAAAAGCTTGGAAATATGTATTGTTGAGAAGGTGGCTGCCTTCTGGGTTGTTGCCCCTGTAGTCTGGTAGAAGTTTAGAACTTCTACCAGACTACATGGCACAACAACCTAGAAGATGGCCATCTTCAGGCACACCGCCATGAAAACGTCAAATCCTACATATGTTGTTAGGTTTATTCCATGATATGTTTGCGGCGACCATTGCTTATGAAGGCACCAAATAGAAAGTATCACTTCAGAAAAAGGTTACACTTTTGTCAGTAATGTTTGTCTTCAAGTACACAACCATTTTGTTCCTGGTACATCAGTACTTGCATTTGAATGTTGTTTTATTTGACACTTTGTCTCACATGGAATTTATTTCATGCATGGTTGTCAAAATAACTTAACCATTTCTTGTATAGTTGTCATCATCTTCAGTCCACTGCTTTAACAATCTGTATCTGCTTGACTTAATTTTCTGCATATTAATAAGAAAGTACTACTTACTTCTCCCTTATTGGTATGGCACTGCATTGTTGCATCACATATTATATTAGGGAAAATAATAATAATAATAATAATCATGAAGTTGTGAGTGTTGTAAATTGTTAGTTGCGCTGAACGTGACATGCGCATCTGAACAAGAAATGGCCAAAATATGCTGAAAATATGTGATAAACATAATATATGCACAACCATCTTAATTGTTTAAAAATATGCACTATAAAATTAGTGATATGGTATGTTAAAACTTTAAACAGATATACAGATACTGAAATGTGTTGACCGCATAAAAGGAAACTAAATGGATTTGCATAAACATCTGATATCTGGTGTTGTTTCTGGATCACTTAAATTAGACTAGTGTATTAGCAGAGGGATCTGCAGTGGCCACGCGGTCTGAGGCGTGGGCCTTCTGCCGCTTGGTCGCAGGGACCATGGGTTTGAATCGCACTCAAGCCATGGATGTTTGTCTTTGTCTTTCTGTGTTGTGCTGTCCTGTGTACAGGTAGAGGCCTTGCGACGGGCCAATCTCTCGTCCAAGGAGTCCTACCAAATGTCTATAGAACAAGCCAACGAAAAAGTTGGGACCTGCAGTGCTCAGGCACTTGAAGAATGGGTCGTTCCCAGTATTAGCAGAAGAGTTGTCTGCCAATTCAGATGACCTGCAAATTACCATATGCAGATGCTGGTGAACTGTTAGCCAGTTAACATTCATTCATATTACAAACATACTAATTTGCTGTTTTAAACTATTAAATGAACTGCTCCTGTTGAATTTGACCGCTGTGTTCATAACCATAAAGTCCATGTAGCTAAGTAGAAAGGTAAATTACAAACTTTCTGCATGTGGAAGGTGGCTTCTTTAGAGCAACACTTGTCATTTGTAGATTTTTATTTTATTTTTCTTTATAGTAATCTCGATGGTTTTGAAGTCCATCAACTTAAAGAGTATATCACAGATTGGTTGACTTTTGGTTGTGCATATATTCATAACATTGAGCAGTTACTAGCTACTGTTATTTATAGCAGTTGAACATTTTCTGTTTATAATCCCTGAAAATGACTGAAATGTTGACTTTTCGAATATTTCAATTGGCTTAGAGTCGAAGATTATTGTATTATGTCACTGCTTTGAGCATATTTGTTTGAAAAGAAACCAATTTCCTCACATTTTGACTTTATTTATTCTTATTTCTGGACATCCTGCTCTGTAATTGTGAACTGTAAGTTCTATTTCTTTAAATGCACCAGAATACACATTCTTGGACTAAGCATGAATATTTCTAAGGAGTAACATAAATTGTATGTATATTCAATTGTATACAATCTGTTTAGTTAAAAGTGTATGGATAACAGAAGCTGCTGGATGGTGTACTAGTGTTTCATTACCAGTCATTTCTCACGGGTTATGTTGCCTGCATTTTGGCATGCTTTCCTGCAAATTCAAGAATGATTAGTCATATTCAAAGTAGCATAAGAAGTTGTAAGTTACCTGTAATTTGTTATTTTGTTTTATTGTAATTTAGTTGTTAAATTCTGCCTATTGACAGAGGCTTGACAAGTGTTAGAACTTCATATGTTATTGGGCCAATGCTTAACTAGTAGTGCATATTAAATAAACTTCATTTTAATGGTATGTATCTTAATGATATGATATTCATTTTCACGTAAATTTTTATCTTTGTAGAAAATGTGTAATATAAGTATGCAATGTAACCTGTGGAGGTTTTTATGGAAGAAAATGTGCATTTGAAGTAATGTGTTATAATTACTAAATTGCTTTTATAATATATTTTACAGTTATTTCATTGAATCTCATGGAAAAATTTCATTTGCTCTCTTCAAGAGTTAGCAGGTATGTAGTAGTTATAATTTGTCTGTTTTGCATATTTATTTCTTCCAGGGTCCAGTGGTGGCGGGCCCACCGAGGGGGAGAGGCGGGGAGGGCCGGGGAGACCGGAGAGGTGGTAGAGGACCACCAGGGGGCATAGGTTATGACCCTAGGGGCGATTCCCACGGATTGGACCCACGAGGCGATCATAGGAACCCTGACTACCATGGCGAACCCCCACGTCGTATAGATGGACAACCAAGAGGTCCTATTGAAGAGCCTCCATCTCAGCAGGCAGCTAAACCTTCAATCCCAGCAAAACCCTTGAAGGGGATTCCAGCAGTTGTGCCAGACTTTGTGATACCAAACAACAAAGAATCTCCCACAGGGGCTGCCCCTGGGCCCAAGTTCCCAGAGCCTCCCAACTTAATGCAAAAACTGAGCGAGATGACAGGTGGTGCAGATACATCTGTCGACAACATCATCTCAAAAGGAAAGGAACTTATCTTCATGAAGTTTGGTCTTGGAGGCAGCAAGTAGCAATGTGAGCAGGTACTGTGGCTTGTGCTGGCATCTCCTGACTTACATTAAACCTAGCTGTGATAAACTAAATAAATTGTCCTCATTCTTGGGAAGTATTAACGAGGTACTGTGACATCTGCATAGTATTTTTTAAGCTGCTATGAGGAAAAATGTTATATATTAAAATAAACACCTTTCATCAAAACATAATGGCACATGATTCTTTTTTCAGAATTACTGAAAGCTTGTTTGCTTGTTATTGAGAGATACCTTGATATGGAGGAGGGAACATGCTTATTTGGCCAATAAACGTACAGTGAATTAAGGATGGTATTAACTGTCATGAAATTTTATTATAGAACATTTATATGCAAGTTGAAGCTTTGTGTATAATAATGTCATAAATTTTTCCTGATTCTCTGCAACAGTTTTCTCATCTTTCAGACTTCAACCCTTACAGATTCTGTGTTAATGAGCAGAGTTACAGCACTTGGATAATATTTTCCAGAAAGCCAGGCAAGATTGTTGAGAAGAGTCCTTAGAAAATGTTGTTTTATACAAGAGGTATGTTGTGTATCAATAATAAATGTGGCCAGATTTTAACCAGCTTTAACATTTGGAGATCATATTTGCATCTGTTCTAAATAGCATCTAATATAAGTAGTTGTCATGTTTATTAAATGATCTCATATTACAGCATCTAGAAAAGAATTTTCTGTTTGAGGTGGTAGCTAAGACTGATGAGATGTTGGGAATATCATTTTCAAAATCTGCTGATTCCAAATACTTATAAAAATACTTTAGATACTTGTGATATGATTATTGCTGGACCAATCAGGTAGTTTATATAAGAATGGATTAAGAGTAGTGACACATACATACATGCATGGAGTATATGGATTTGGGGACAGTAAATATTCAGTGACTTTTCTGTTCAGTGTAAAAAAAGGATGTTTCTATTTTTCATTTTTTAAAGACTTTTATAAATTTTATCAGTTTTTCTTCAATGTTGTATGTACAGTAGAGTATCAAAATTATACAAATATTAACGGTGTTAACGAAGTGCTATTATCATGTATTATGATCCTTTGTACCCTTGTTTTTTAAACATGGAATATTTTGCCTCTTATACATCAAAGCAGCGTTACTTAATTTCACGGTAATATAGAGGAAAGGGCCGATAGATGATTTTGTTAATCCAAGTTTTTTTTTTGTCAGATTGACATACTTGTTATAATAAAGTAAATTTGACAACTCATGTTATAGACATTATCCCAAATATGTTTTGTAAATGTTTTGAAATTTATGGAAAAGTAACAATTTTGTTAAATCAGTAGTAATGAATGGAGGTTTCTTCTATGCCTTTACAGCATATGTGATTATGGAAACTGCACATTAAATTTAAATTAAAAGCACTCAAAAGATAAGGCTTTATGCGAAAGGTTGGTAAGCTTCTTATACGTGTAATAAAATATTGTATTTGGGATAGATTTTCTGTTTTTATATCGATGTAACTGAATTTGAGAAGTATGACTGATTTATGAAATGTACAAGATACCAACTTTTTCAAATCTGTTGAAACCAGCACTATGTTACATGTTGCACTTATCCACTGAAATGAACTCATAATTCACGTTATGCACATGTGTTTCTTATGGACTTAAAAGAAACATACATACTGTGTGCCTAGAAAGTTCTTCCTTTATATTTGGAGTAAGCAGATTTTGGGGGAATAAAAAGAAACATATCATTTCTGTTCTCAGTGATTTAATTAACTTCCACTTCAGCTATAAATATTTAAGCTGCTGCGATAGGGTGCATATGCTGTAATAGATTTGTGAGTTTTACATTAATTATCACAGGTTTAATGGAAGTTGCTAGAGTCAGACCAGCACAAAAGATCTTGCCCCTCTTGTTTGTTAACTTCATTATGTATGTGAGACTTGCAAATTAATAGAGGGATATTCATGTTATAAAATTTTTCTTGGGCGATCAGCCGCGTTAGTGTTGATGGTCTTAGAAAATTGTATAACGTTCGTATGCCTTTAAAATTTT